TTAAACTTTTATATAATCACACATTTAACCCACTCACCTCTTTAAGACATCATATGCACCCACGACGTAACAGTCACCGTGAGGTCTTCTTATTTCTGCCTCTGGCACGTACTGTTAAATACCGTCGGTTCTTTTCTGTAAATGCAATTGCTATTTGGAATAAACTACCCATGAGTGTGAAAACTTTGCAAAATTGTCCTTTATTTAAGAGAACTATTACTCGAGTTTTGCATTCAGAAAAGCTCCCACAAATTTTGGGTGCTGAAAACTCTGATCGACTGTACCGTAGCGATGGCGTTTGTGGTCTCTGAACACTATGGCCGGTCTCACCAGCTGTTCCTCAACGCCTCTACTTTGACTATCCCCAACTTCATGAAAGGAATTTGACGTCCGATAATATCCGATACCGTGCAACCTCCCCCCTTCTTGACGGTCGATATTCTACCACCGCCGGCAGTTTTTTCTCCTGAGCCCTCCAAACCATAAAAACCACCATCAACTATATTTTTATCCCTTTAGCTCTGGAGTTTTTTCACTGCTGGTCGAATGTATGTTTAATCGCTTCCCTTGACAATGCCTGTAAACTGGCATTAAATATAAAATTTATTTTATTTATTTATTTATTTAAAATTTAGCGGGAGAAGATGGTTCGAATATCAGGTTTTTCGGATTTTCATTCGAAAGCTCTTATGGCACATGAGGAGTGATTTAGTCGCCTTATTTCAGTTCAGTTCAGTTTATTGAGGGAAATAGGTGTAAGACTTGGAGTACCTTATTTGCAACGTAAAAAAATGTGTGGTATACAGATAAATGTTCTGGGCTGAAATAGTTCAAAAACGCCCATAATTGTAGGCCAAAGTGAGAACGAGTTACAGACGGTGAGCTTTATTTCTCATTGCTCTTGGTCATTTCGGAACATAAATATGTCAACACTCTTTATAAAACTTTGTATAGATGGTGACATCACAACATCTGCGGGAAGGACATTCCATGGTTTGACCGCTCAAACAGAGAAGGAGAACTTCCGCACATCCAACCTTGCATGCTGATTTTGCAGTTTTTACGGGTGACCTCGGAGGTTGGTCGTGGTAGCAAATTCAAAAAAGTCCTCGAAGGCCAGACTGCAATCCAAACCCTATTACAATGCAGAAAGCTTTCAAGAGATCCCAGCGAAGTTGCCTGTAACTCAAAAGGAAGAGGTTCAGATTTATGGGGCGGGTTGCATAAGCAAAGGAGCTTTGACCCCTAATCGTCTTCGTGGCTCTCCTCTGACCTCTTTTAAGGCAGTTTTGATCCTTAACCGCCCACGGCCTCCAGGCTTGTATGCCGTTCTCTAAATGTGACCGGACGAATGTTCCGAATGTCTTTGAAAAAGCGTCTTCGTCAAAGTCCATAAACTCACGCTTGATGGCGTACGGTACGGACATTGCGCTTTTTGCCAATCTCGAACAATGGGCGGATGGCTTTAGGGAACGCGTCGTCAGCACACCGAGGTCCTTTTTAGGCTTCGAACTCTTGTAGGGCTGCACCACCCAGAAAGTAGTCTCTGGTGCTGGCGGATCTTAGCTGTGTTGCCTAGGCGAAGTATTCTACATTGGCCAACGTTGAACCGCAGGAGCCAACGGTTTGACCACTCCTCCAACCGATTCAGGTTCATCTGCAATCTGTCCTCGTCGGCAGGACCCCGAATTAACTCCATATCTTCATGTCGTCGACAAACATTGCTACTTCGTAGTCTAGAGCTCTTGCGGCATCGTCCACCTAGATAAGGAACAAAATGGGTCCCAATACTGAACCCTGGGGGACACCACTCTCGACCATAGCAGGATCTGATTTTCCACGACCGATGCGTACAACCCGGTGTTGACCAACAAGGAAGTTTTAGATTCATTCAAGGAAGTTGCCACTGATCCCCATTTTTTAGTTTATGTAAGAGCCTCTGATGTGGCACAGTGTCGAACGCCTTCTGGAAGTCCATGAACGCTATGTGGACCGCGTGCTTGTCGTCGAGAGCTCGGGTCAAGCTCTGGAGAGATTCCAGCATGTTTGTCGTGCAGGATCTCTCTTTCCTGAACTCATGTTGGCGTTTCGATAGCAGGCCGTGAACTTCCAGAAATTGCATCAGTTCACTCTTTATGAACCTTTCCATAACTTTGCAGAGAATGCATGTCCAGCATATGGGCCTGTTATTTGTCGTCGTTGCTCTGTTACCTCCTTTGTGTAGCGGAGTAATATGCGCCAGCTTCCAATCGATAGGAAGTGTTTCAGTGTCAAATGACGTTTGAAAGAGCATCGAAAAAGGCCCAAAAAGCTCACTGGCAAATTCCTTGAGAAGCTTGGATGGAATCTCATCTGGTCCTGGCGACTTCGATTCGATCAATGCCTCTAATTCTCCTCGGACAATGCCTTCTGAGAAGAGTATATCACTGACGCTTGGGGTCGGCAGTTCTTCTGTGGAGGGAGGAAGGAACCTTGCCTCGTTTATATAGACTGATTGAAAGAACTGTGAAAAATACGCAGCCTTATCTCTACTATCAGTAATCTGAACGCCATCAGTAGTCCTTATCAAGGGGGTTTGATGCCTGTTCCTTGTACTTCGTCGGAGGTAGCTGTAGAGCAATTTTGGGTTCCGCGTTGTTTTTTGTAGCAAGTTCTTCTCGAATTCCCGCCGCGTCTTTATTCTCAGATTCCTTAGTTTGTGCCACTGTGTCTTGTAGGTGTTGAACTATTCAACTTGCCTAGTGGCGCAGTATTTTCCCCACAATTTGTGCTTTCTGTTGATTTCTTT